TCCATCCGGGATACTTTCTTCCATAACTCGGCTGCCTCTTTGATCCTCTTCTTATAACTGTCACCGTGATACACAAACTCTGATGTAGATAATCCGTATGTTGCTGGGATAAACTGACGTGCCCATACTGTCTAAGTGCCAACAACGGAGCATACCAACTGCACCCCAAAGTCCAAGTAAGGTCATAGTGTCAGAATCCCCAAATCAGAAAAGAACGTCACTGAGGAACAACCAGGGGGCTCTCCAAGTAATATCCCGGTCCTGAAGATGAGTGAAGACCTTCATCCATTCTTCTTTCGAAGCGCCTTCATGCCATTTCATAGTGATGAACTCTCCCAATGGTGAATAGGTAGTGCTGAATCGGCGGTAGGCAACACCGTTAGTCTTCCAGAAGTGGCTGTGAATCCAGACTTGTAGGAGCTGAACACATCCAATGAACCTTCCTCCACCAGTTCTTCTGCAATGATTAAGAGACCGAAAGGTCTCGGCTAAGATGGTCGGCGCTGGGTTGACTCGCCTTGGAAGTTGTTCAAATAGTTCTACTACGGCTGCGTCGATGCACCCCAAGGTCTTCGGAAAGATAATCAAACCGTACAGACCCAGTGCAAAAAGATCTATAGTCTTCCATTCATCAGGGTGGTTCTTCATTAGTTGCTTTATATGGATCCACTCGATTCCTTCCCCGCTACCTTTGTATCGGAGTCGATCAGTCACCCACTTTTCTTCAACCCCTGCAATCTTGGCCAGTCCATTCTTAAAAGGATAACCCTTGATATGTTTGATATATGCCTTCTCTAGTCTGATGCTTTCGCAGTGCAGTAGTGTGGTATACTCTTCAATAGTGGGCACCATGTCCTCTCGGTTATAGGTGAAGCAACTATATCCCGGGTTCTAGAATTGAATCAGTGCTCGGAGCAGGGGCTCATCAGTCTTGACATGAAGTAAGAGGGCAATATCACCATATTGTTGGCTGAACTTCTACTTTCTAACATTCTTCCAGTTGTCCCAAATGTTTCGCAACTCTTGGACATCATTCTGTTTCAGGCTGACAGAGGCATAGCTAACCAGCTCTGACACGTAGTTCCCCTGAAAACTATCTCCCTTCTCTTTCTGAGTCATCTCAGACCATAGTCGTGCCTCGGCGTTCTTAATCTCTTGTATTACAACACCTTTATCCATTAATTCAGATTATTTTGTGTATAACAAACGCTTTTTAAAGATCAATAGCATCTTGTTATGATGCAAATGCTAAAAAAACAAACACAAGGCAGAAATATTAGTAAAATAAATAAATAAATAACTGACGAAAGGAAAAAAAAAGACATGGTTAAGGTAAAAATATCCTAGGTTTCGGAAATATGGTTTCAAGGTAGGCTCTAATTCTCCATGGTCTTCCAGTTTAGGTTCTAAAAACGGTACCCGAGTTCTCCTTGCCGGTGCCCCCTTAGGCTTACCGATGCCCCATTGGGCTTGCCAGACCCTTAGTCCTAAACCCTTCACAGGCTTGTGTGAACTAAGTTAAACTCGAGGGGACACATTCCCTTATACCCGCAAGGTGAATAAATTCACACGAAGACATAAGGTATATGAATCCCGAAGGCTACTTGCTAGGCCCGCACGGTGAATAAATTCACACGAAGGCGTCGCTTTCACCCCTACTTAAAATAGGGTTTAGAGCTCGGGTATAGAGCCTTAGATGAAAAAAAAACTTTGAAGGCTGAAATCATGAGAAAACAATTAGTCCAACTATTTACTCGAAAATATAATCAAAACTAAGTAAAAAGGATCGAAATATTATCTTAAAATTTAAACTTACCCTTTTCGTTAAAAAGACAACTGGAAATTACCTTAGCCTTACTCACTTACATGTGTCCCCAGCGGAGTCGCCAAGCTGTCGCAACCGTCTTTCGGTTGGGCCCCGAAATTGAGTTTCGACTTGAAAAATGTGGATTGGAGTCGCCACCGATCATTTATTTAAAACAAATGGATTGATCGGATACCCTATTTCTTACCTGATCTGCGTCTTTCCAAAGATGTGTCGGGTTCGGGAGTCGGTTACGGTCAAGGAAGGATTAGCACCCTTGAACCGCCCTTTCGGTACTACGTAATTTCCAGTTGTCTTTGATTAAAAAATTGCAAGTTAAATTAAAAGGTAAAATTTGATCAGAATTACTTACTCTTAATGAGTTTACGGAAATACCCTTAAAAAATAAGATGTTAAAAGAAAATAATAATAATAAAAGAAAGTAACAAAACTAAAGAGTAAACCAATGAAATAAATGAAACCAATAATAATAAACATAAAATAATTGGATGAAACAAAAAAAAATGAAATTGAATAAAATAAAATAAAATAAATGAAGATAAAATATATATACAAAAAGAATAAAAAAGGTAAAGTGTTTTTTAAAAAAGAAAAAAACAAAGAAACTAAAAATATAATGAAAATAAATAAATAGTATAAATAAAATAATATATATATATATATATATAATATAAATACTAAATAGTAATAATAATAATAATAATAAATGAAAAATAAATATACATATAATATTTACTAAAAAAATAGTAATCATAGAAATATAAAATAAAATGAAGTAAGAATATATATATATATATATATATATATAATAGAAAAATAATATAATATAACGCAAAAAAAAGAAAAAAAGAAAACTATAATAAATAAATAAAATATATATATATATATATATATATATATACATATAAATAATAAGGGTTAAATTAAAACAAAAAATGAATTAGGGGTCGAAATTAAAAGTCAATCAAAGAAAAAAAAGAATTTGCTTGTATTTAAAATCAGGGGACCGAAATGGGCATACTGTAGAGGCAAAACACACGGATCTACACGACCCGTTTATAAAAATTTGAATAGTTTTTCAAAAAACACAAGCCTCGGGGGCTAGATCTACAAAAATAGATCTCGAAAACGCCCATGTTCATTGGCCAAAAACACTTCTTTCGGTTTTCTTTCGAATCAAAACACAACAAGGGTAAGGAAAAATAACATGCGAAAGTATGAACATTACCTTTCAAAATATAAATGCTTCGAAAAATGACTACGAGTTGCTTGTAATTTTTTGCTTGGTATCTCGTATCTCGTATATCTTTTCTGAATGTGTTACAATAGTGAGTTACAATGACTATTTATAATGCTTGTGGATCTCATCTTTAGGAGTTTAAATAATAGTAGAACTCTATCCTATTTTTAGGAGTTTGAATCCTAGCAAAATTCTATCATATTTTTAGGAGTTTGAATCCTAGTAGGACGAAAAGGTGTGTTGACAACTTGTAAATTAATTTAAGAATTTACTTGTATTTTTTTTTAATTTTGACGTCTTTAAAAAGAGTTGTATTGTGAATTCATTTACAAGTTTATTCAAAAAAAAATTAATTAAGCTAAAGGTGATTACAAAATATTATTTGTTTTAAATACTCTCAACCAATTAACAATAAACGTTCAATCAATCTTACAGTCGCTAGTGCTTGAACACATGACTTCTGGGAACAACAACGATTCCCTTAATTACTTAGGTAAGTTGATTCATGTTATTATTAAATTCAATCAATTCTAATAAAAATATATATTTATTTAAGTTATATTTTTAAAATTATTATTTCAAACTTAACACAAATTAATTTAAATATGTGGCCAACCTAAAATTTTATTATAAATTTAATATTCATAATTTAGGTCTTGAAAAGTAAACTAAATGCATATTGCTTAACTAAATTTAATTTATATTATTATTTTATACATAAATTCTTAAACAAAGAGAGTTAATTGCATCATTTGTCCTCAAATAATAAATCTCATTTTAAATTGATCCTTAAACTTTTGAATATTTCAAATTCATATTCAAACTATGACTCTCATTCTAAATTAGTCCTTAAACTTTTAAACATTATACTTTCATCCCTAAACTATGACTCTCATTCTAAATTAGTCCTTAAACTTTTAAATGTTATACTTTCATACCTAAACTATGAGCCTCTTTATAAATTAGTTCTCAAACTTTTGAATGTGCCGATTTCATCCCCAAATTCATCCTAATATGTAATTAGTTTCAACAACACTTTAACCTAATTTCTTGTTTTTGTTTTCAAACATCTAATAATATAAATTCGCCTAATGATTTTATTAACAAGGGATGTGATCAGTATATATGTATAGTTTTGGATGAAATTGGAATGTTTTAAAAGTTTGGGGACCAATTTAAAATGAAGATCATAGTTTGGGTATTAAATTGAAATGTTCAGATGTTTGAGCACTAATTTAGAATGTTAATCATAGTTTAAGGATGAAACTAGAACATTTAAAAGTTTAAAGACCAATTTAAAATGATGGTCATACATTGAGGACATGTAATGCAATTAACTCTAAAATATATATATACAAGAACACCGGATCTATTATCTCGTATAGTTACAAGAGTCAATCCATTTTACATATACTAAAAGAGAATCTGATCACTTGGTCGAATTTGAATTATGTGTTTTATATATAATCTTGTTGGCTTAATGCATTTTTTACTCCCTAATGTTATCTGTATTTTCAATTTGATACCTAATATTTTTTTTATCAATAATGCCCCTAACGTTTATTAAAATTACCAATTTCACTTTAAAATCGTTAACTCCATTAAAACTACTTGAATCAATAATGAATCAATAATAGTATGACACATTACACTATTTTTATTTAACCATTGAAATTCCGCATGCAATATGTTCCACACTATTTTTATTTGACCACTGAAATTCCACGAGCGCTATAGAGACCAATATGAACCAAACGACTTCAATAATTAGAGAGATAATTATTATCTCTAAAAGTTATAGGTTAGAGCACGACATCTGCATAAGTGATTGGACGTTCGTTGTCAAATGATTAAATTTTTTTTAATAAACACTACCTCGTAATCACCTTAAATTAAGAAAAAAAATTCTTAGAAATTTTTTTTCATCAAATTATTAATTCCCATCATAAACAATCATAAGTGATTTCATATTCAAACAATTTGATTTTCCTGAAATTCTTTTAAAATGAAATGAAAACACAAAACTCAGTTACCCGACTGCACAAAGACCAATTACCATCTGCTATCAAAATTAGTAGCCATTTATCCGCGGCCTAGGACTTGGACCCATCAGCCGAGAAAACGGTATCTGGGTCTGCCCCAGACTTCCCCTTTGCCCACCATATTCATCGTCTATCTTCTGATCAGAGAATGATTTTGAAAAGGCCTGCGCAAGTTCCACCGCTGATGTAACTTTTCCGTAGCGTAACCCGGGAGACTGAGTAGATACTGGTTTAATATTCTCTGCAGGCTTACGCCAGGTCTCGGGTGAAGGCTGCCTCTCCTTTGCTGCTGCTGCTGCTGCAGCCTTTCAGTTTCCCGGCCATTCCGCCGGTTTCTCCTCTGCATATCAACTCTGCAGTTGTCATCACGATGGTTCCTCTCGTGTTTTTTTCCACCTCTCTGATCAACAGGATTATTCTCGACTCTTTCACCATGGGGAAGAGCTTTTTCAGTCATCGGAACATTATGTTTGACCCTTCGCGTAACAGTAACGACATCTTACTATTAAGGTTTAGGAAAATTGGTGAACAAAACCATAATGGGAAACGCAAAATGTCCTAGAATGCATTAAATAAAGGAAATCACTACCTCTCAAGATGTTGAACTGGCCCGTGATTGCTATCATCTATCCCTCTCTCCTTCAGAACCTGAGAAGTGAACCAGCAATCCTATCAGGTATCATGATGAAAATCACTAAAAAGTATCACAATAACAAGTGTGAAGCTATAATAACAATAACGTGATTAAAAAAATCCAATAAGACGCGAGATATTCACTCACCAGTTCTCGTGGGCGAGCACCACCAAACATCGAATTCCTGCATTGATGACAGCTAAGTAGTTATCTAATGCGAGGATTCTCAAGAAAATAAACTAAAAAATCTCATTCATTCCAAGATAAAAGGTAAGGATGTGCAAACAAAATATCGGTCCATTATATGCTGCCTCTCATTAGCTAAAAGGTAAGATGCATATGGTTTCACGTTCAAATTCACTAATAATAGAAGAGTTTTGCACGGAAAATAGGTGAAAAATAAATTTAAAGACATGTAAAATTGCATTATCATGTTCAAATTAACTAACAATTGACGAGTTTTGCATGGCAAATAAATTCTTCCTCTTTCCGTTGTGCATAAGACTGTGATACACATCTACAGAGCAACATTAACTCAAAGTCTAGAAACATACTGACCTTTCCTTCTTGATGTCCCCTTCTAATAGTTCGTTGAGATGCGAAAATGGCTTTAAATTAAGCTTCGGACGATCCACTGTCTGGTTCCAACTCTCACTACCAGCTAGACAAGGTTTTGAAGTATACACATGTGCATTGTTACCAATTCCAGCACGAGTAAGGACAGATTCACTCTGGCGCTGGTGCCCCTATTTCAAGAAATTATCATTATTAGAGGTAAACTAAATTAAAAGAATGCTAACTTCAATTCTATGGCTTACGAACTATACCTGCTTAGGTTCAACAACAGGTGATTTTGGACCATCTAATGGCTTAGTCCGGGGTTGTAACTTCAACTTGGGTCGTTCAGATGCTTCTAGCAGCATTGGTGGTGATGACAGCAATTCATAACCATCTAGTTTTCCATCTGAATGAGTTGATCCAACTCCTTCACCATGGATCATTGATTTATTTTCTTTAACTTCCAAATAATTAAGATTATGGTTCCTCCCATAGTCAGGTAACTCCTTTCTACCACCATGAATTCCTTCGTCAATATTCAATCCCTTTTCTACATGCCTTGGCAATGTTACATCCGAATACTCCCTACCACAGGCACTACTCATTCTGCTGTACATTTTATCACCGTAACCCTGGGAGGGCAAACCATTTTCCAGTTCCGAATGTTTACTAACTTCGACATCTTTCTGAGTTTGAAGGGACTGCTTTGACTGCCATCGACCCGAAGAAACCTTTTCAAAAGCACTAGCATGAGCCAACTTCGAGGCAGCACTTTGCTCAGACCAGGCCGATTGTACAGGCTCCAGGTCACTTAATGTCACCTCCTTCCTAGATGTCCAAGCATTAGGGTACGACCCCGAAGCAGCCTGTCCGGCATTCCACCCCGAAGTCTGAGAACTCAAACCAATATGTGCAGCTTCAGACACTCTACCAGGGTATGAATGCCCCCCTCCACTTGACAATGGAGACACCGGAGATGATCCATATCGACCTGAAACCCTACCCGAAAAAGCAGACTCCAGCTTGAGCTCCACATGTCTAGCCGGAACCTGAAAACTCTCATCACTAACAGTTCTACGCGGAGCAGAAACCCCATCTAACGGCGTTCTTTCATCCTCATCAAAATTTCGACCAATATGCACTGAATTGGTCAGAAATGGGGTTTTATTATCCAAATGCCTAGTTGCAGGAGACGAACTGGGCCGGGCACGATGATCTGCCCGGCTCATGGAGTTTCCCCACAACGTTGCCCTATCATAACCTGAACGATCGTAAGGCCTAATAATCCTGTTCCTATCAAATTCAATAAAAAGAAAAATGAAATATCAATAACTAGTGTTCCACTAGCAGCTACATTGGCTTTCAGATCTAATATCAAACGACTCAAAATTAACATTTTGGATTATACCAGGAAATGCATAAATCAAAGAATAAAGGGGGGAAAAGAGAGAAAAGATTGATCAAATTAAGAAGAAACTGAAAATTAGGAACATACACGCCAGGGGCAGAAGGGAGAGGGAGATCAGTAGGGATTGAACCGCCATGAAAATCTTTTAAAGTCATAGTGTTTCCACTGAAAGCCTTCTTCTTCGACATTTTTCTTTCCTTGGTATCTTCTTTGTCTCAAATTCTCTTTCTTTTCCTCTCTCTCTCTCTCGAGATAATTATATTAATAAAAGAATTTGTATATACAAATAGAAAACGAACAAAAATATAGAGGAACCCCCAAATGCAAAAGAAGCTCAAGAATGGCGGAAGGGGCGGCGGGGGTTGCCTCCTAGTTACAGTCGCAGGCCCTCCTTCTTTCTCGACTAGACCAAACAAAAAGTTAACCACTCTCTCTCTTCCTCTTTCAATTTCTCTTGATCTCCCTGGTTCTGGGTTCTGATCTTTGCTTTGCTTTCTTTCAGCATCAAATCAAGGGTTTGAGCAATTCAATTGCAAGATTACAACCAAAAAATTCATGTTGGGCTTTTCTACTGTGAAAAATATATATCTCGAGTGTATTAGTAAACTCGAATCTTGGGCCCAATGTTTGACCAATCTAATCTAACTTTCGACTTGACTCTTTCCTAACCCATACATACATATATTAATATTTGGTGATTCTAAATTCCAATGTAAATATTTATAGTTCAATAATAGAAGTGACTATAGGCTAAAAGTTCAGAGACCGCCATAGTTTACCCTAAAAATTTACCTTTCACAATATCAAACGCCAGAAGAAGAAGTTATCAAACTTTATAAAGTAAGACCTCAAAGTGAAATCCTCACGAGTTAAACCCCAAAAAACAGGGCAGGGGCTCTAAATTCCGCGGTGCCTCATCTTCTCCAAAATCCCCATTTTTTTCAATCCCTTGTTTTTTTATCTTAACCTAAAGAAGCTTCTCTGGTGATAAACCCCTGACTGAATCAGGTAAGCAACCCAAATGAGCTTTGTAGTCCATTTTCACGTTTTTGCCAAAAGGAAAAAAATAATAACCTTCAGATATTTTCCATCGATTCTCTCAGAAATCAATTTCGGGTTAGCTTCTTTTGATAAAATTTGGGTCTTTATCTTGCCATGTTTATTTGCAGAATCAGTAGAAAAGTCTCTAAGTTGTCTAAAATGATCGCTAATTTGAACAAGTTTGTTGTTTTGTCTCATGTTGTGTATGATAAATCCAAAGTTGTTCAAAACCCATTTTCTATCTCACTGAACGTTAGATGTTTTAGGAGTTCTAGACTTGCTTTTAATGCAGAATCATCTCTGGTTGAGTCCATACAATCAAGTTCTGGAATAGCCAGTCGAGTCTCTCGGTCGGCTAAAACCGAGGCTCAGGTTGTCCTGTTTGATTACTTGCACTCCACTAGGGGCTTTAATTTCATGGATGCTGAGCATATAAGCAAGAACTCGCCTCATTTTCTTCACAATTTGTTGTCCAAGATTGATCCTGAGAAAGATGTAGCAAAGTCTTTATCTAAATTCTTTAGATACAATCCTATTAACGAGTTTGAACCGTTTCTCGAGAGTCTGGGTTTGTGCCCTGGTGAGATAGCATCTCTTGTTCCGCAGCGGTTGATGTTTTTGGCGGATGATAGTGTCATGCTTGACAATTTTCGCATTTTGTGTGACTATGGAATTCCTCGTATTAAGATGGGAAAGATGTACAAGGAGGTCAGGGAGATTTTCGGATATGATTACGGGATATTGGCTTCAGAACTTCAGGCTTACGAGAATCTGGGTCTCAGCAAACTGATAGTTATAAAGTTTGTTAGTTGTTGTCCGTCACTTTTGGTCGGTGGTGTGGATTCTGACTTTGCTGCGGTTCTTGAGCGTTTCAAAGCATTAGGAATGAAGAAGGATGAGATTGGAGGGTTCGTATCGTGTAAGGGTATGTATAATTGGGGTAGAATGCTGGACACACTCGATTTTCTTGAGAGAGTGGGTTATACTGAGGAGCAATTTTGTGATCTATTTAAAACGAATCCGACATTGTTGTTTCAAGGTTCTGGAAAAAAGGTTTACGTACTATTTGGCCGCTTACTGAAATTAGGTCTCGAGATGAACAAGGTTTATTCCTTGTTTATCCAGAACCCACATATCTTGTCAGTTAATGGCACCAAAAATCTTTGCAAGTCATTGGATTTCTTGTTCGATATTGCGATGCAATCCGAAGATATCGCACACATAGTCTCTACACACATGGAACTAATGGGGTTGTATTCTTTGAAAGGACCTAAAACAGTTTGTAGAGAGTTGAATATTAAGAAAGATGAATTGTGCCAAATTATAAAGGCAAATCCTCTGAAATGGTTCACTGTGGCTTCTAAATCCGAGGTCCAACGCAGGATGCAGGTAGCTCGGAAACACCCAAGTACTTATATTGAGAAAACAACATTCTTACTGAGATTAGGTTATCTGGAAAACTCGGATGAGATGTTGAAAGCATTGAAGCAGTTCCGAGGCAGAGGGGATCAATTGCAGGAGAGATTTGATTGCTTGGTAAACGCGGGTTTGGACAGCAACGTCGTCAAGAACCTAATCAAACATGCTCCGATGGTGCTTAACCAATCGAAGCATGTACTCGAGAGGAAAATAGATTGCTTAAAGAATTGGTTAGGATACCCACTCGAATCCGTCGTGGCATTCCCGGCATATTTATGTTACGAGATGGAAAGAATTAATCAAAGATTTTCGATGTACGCGTGGCTAAGGGAGAGAGGAGCAGCCAAGGCGATGTTGTCGTTAAGCACTGTCCTTGCATGTTCGGACGCACGATTCGTGAAGTATTTCGTAGAAGTACATCCTGAAGGTCCAGCCAAATGGGAGAGTCTAAAGAAATCATCATCGAATTCAGTGTAAGTTAATTCCATCCATTATTTGTACTCATTATACAGTTACCATTTCCTTTCCTTTGTTAAATTTTCGTGTCTTTATAAGTATACCCAAACCATGTAATGCATGGGAGGGGCTCTTTTGAAGTTGGCCCTTTTCGATATTTAATCTTAGTTCCGTCCTTAAGAATACATATTGGCCTTTTGTCTTAATTCTTAATCTTAATCTTAATCGTGTTTTATTCTGTCACAACATATCTATGGTTGGAATGTTGGAAATTTTGTAGATCAACTCTGCGTTTCGAGTATAAAATTCAAAATCATTTTCCTGAAAGTATGGAAAAAAGTATGAAATATATCTATCTTCATTTTAATGTCCGTGAAATATATACTCCTCATCACTTGATTAGATGTGGAGTGTGACGGATTCTCACGAATTTTATCCCATTGAATTAGAAGAAGATGGTAGCATCACGTATTTGGTGTAATGTTAAATTAACTCCGAATGTTTATGAAAATATTCATTATGGTTCCTATTTTCTTTTTTGTTTTTGACCTTTTCAACCTTAACGTTTTATTTTAGGATTAAAAAAATCTTTTCACGTTTGATCATATAGTCATTGTCTCTTATTTTTCTTTCTGAAACCTTTTGGTCCTCACCATTTCATTTTAGGTTAAAAATACTCTTATTTTATAACGTTAATAGTATGTCAACTAACGATTTCCATCCACATAAGATTTTTTTCTGGCCAATATAAAACGTTGGATGTCAAAATGCTAAAAATATAAGAACTAAAATAATCATTTTGGCAAACATTGAGGGCTAATTTTGGCATTATGCGGAAGGTATTTTCACTCACAACAAGCTACTTAGGGTTTTACTTAAAAAAACAGTTAAAAGCAAGTCGCACAAGGTCATGAAAAGGGTCAAAGAGTGACGAATCAGTTGAAATTTTGCATGCAATCCAACTTATCAAGTCACTACAGACATTTTAAATTGGCTTTCAAGCAATAAGCACTTTAAGTACACCCACATTTCTTCATAATTTCCTGAGCTTATACGGTCCGCCGTCTTTTAATGAAGATGACGACGACGAAGTTAATCCGTTGCGGTTAAACTCGGCCTTGTCTTTGCTAAATGCTTTCTGAACATCATCCTTCAGTTCCCTGAAACGCGATCTCTTTAACTTTTGCTCCTCCAGAGAGCCACGCTCGAGGTAAAACAAATCGGGAAGGTCATCTTCCATGAACTTATCTAGCACTTCCGAGCAATGCGGGAAATAACGGCGGCCCATCTCGACTGTCGGAAACAACAATCACATCATTTAAACCAAACATAAATAGCCAACACTGACACCAAAAACATACACAAATGTGGGGTTATATTAAACCTTCCATCACCTGTTTTCATAAGGGCCTCCATCCTTGCAAACTGTCTCTTCTTCTGCATGACCGGCGTCTCATTCAAGTCAACCTGACTTAAGTTTCCGTTCGAACCCTTCGATGAGAGACCGGAAAACTCCGAGGTTCTTTCAGCATGTGCTATGTCCATGGCAAGTTTTGCTTCACTCGGGAAAAGTAACCTCGCGAACGCAACTGCAATAGGCAACATTACTTGGAGATAACTTTCTAAATAAAACAAACTCTTCTATAAAAAAAAAACAAACAAACTCGATAACGAATTAAATGCAGCTTTTAAGTGTAAGGATGAATGCAAATGAGCAAAACCATATATTAAACCAAATCATAAAAAAATGTTAGCATGAATGAGTCGATCAAAAGCCAACTAAGCAAAACCCAAAACCCGGCTTTTACCAAGTATTCCATTGCATCATACTTTCTCAATTAACAACGAGTCTTTCAGCTCAGAAAATGAACCAAAACATAGTTAGCTGTTAGTCTGCAACCTTAGCCATATGCTGATATGCATACTGTGAATGGATCCAAGTTCAACTCTTTCATGTAGACACTCAAACTATGTGGCTTATTCAGAAAGAAAATAATATAGAAGTACCTCTTTCGGTCTTTCCTAGACACTGTTGGTTCGTTTCATGCATGCAATACTAATTGCAGAAACTTGAGACGGATATAAATATATATTACAGCTATAGTGTAGATAAAGAGCCAAGGGAAATCCCTACATAGAGTAATACCTCGGTTCTCTAGGTACAGAAGTCGCATGTGCATGTCATCGGCCAATGTATGGGAAGTAATGGAGACATCTCCGCCATTGGATTTCTCCTCATTTCCCTCTCTAAAACATCGATGCATATCCGATCTTTATTTGTTTCCTTTCCCTGCTCTGTTTTTGCATGATAATCCTTCAGTCTCGTCAACCTCTGGCAGATGTTAAAAGCACTTCGTCCATCCCATGTCAATTCCGAAGCGGATGCCCCTTTTGCTAGAAGCGACATTATCACCGACGGTTCTTTACGCATTGCAGCTATGTGAAGAACGGTATAACCACGGGAATTCCGTTGATTGACATCAGCCAGACCCAGGGCGAGAATCTCGGAAACAATCTTGGGATCACAATACGCAGCTGCGTAATGGAGGGCAGCAGCATCATCCAAAGTTATGTCTGACTCTGTTAGAAGTAGTTTAACGAGTTCAACATCATCCGAGTCCAACGCTTTGTGTATCCTCCGGATTCTTTTTTTTCTAGTAGGATCGACAACAGCTGCCTCACTATCTTCGCCTTCGGGTGGAGACTTGCATCGAAGCATCCGAATACTCTCCGCAACCTCATAAGGAAGCTCGTTCTCGATAGAGATGCTATCGAGATCCGACCTTGTCACCCTATCGACACATTGCGAAACAAGCTGGCTACACTGGCAATGGAAAGCAACCTCAAGAATCGGAATAATATCTTCTACCAGAGCCTTATCAACAAAATTAAGAAGCCGTCGCTGCAAATACATATAATAAATGAAATTAATAAAATTAATATACATCCTCCACCTTAACTAGAGAAAAAAGGATTGATCAAATTCTATTGAGTCCGACTCATAGTGATCATGTATGAAAGAATAACTTTGGTTACCAAATGATTGAACAACCGAGACCTACTTATTTACAATACTTAGTTGACATTCATAAAAAGTATCTAATGAATTATGAATTCAATACATCCTGTTTAACAGAAAGACGAATATTCTTTGCTCATGAACAGACACAATCGGTTATTCACAAATTTCGTGTAAGGCTAATAGTTTCCATTGGAAAACCCTTTTCGTTTAGCCTTATCTCCCTCTAGGGGTATTTTAGCAGTTATTCTTATGTTCTTTTCATTACAGTGTTTCTGAACAAATTCCTAGATAACAAGCTTAAATGTTTTCTTATTGATGATAGTGAAGATATTGACCATAGGGCTATAGGCGGTTCAACGACTTCTTCATCTGACCACTTTCCATCTCTTCCTTAGAATCACCGGCTGCAACTTTCCATCCAAACTAAAAGAGAGAAACCACGCCAGAACTCTACTTTTCGCATCAACAATTCTCTTGGTCAAACCAAGCTAAAAGCACGCCAAAATATATCCATGCTTTCAATTACTATGAACTTAAGGGTTTTTCATTACATATTCACTGAAGAATCCATAGGCTATACACATCTAACATATATTTACAGAGATTACAGCAAATCAACAGTAAATAAAACTGGTAAAAAATACAGACCTGAAAAAGTGAAACCATCTCAGGTACATGAAATATCGATGATGCATACATCAACTCGACAGCAAAATTAATGGCGGGTCGACAAGCATCATGTGCACAAGCAGTGTCAACACAAGTGGAAACATCCATGGGAGAAGGCTTGAGCTTCCCTGTATACAAATAACTCAATAATACCTGAAAAGCTTCGAGCCCAATCTTGCCATAAGGCAAGAAATCGCTCATCTTGTAACTTGGTTTCTTCTTCCCCGCATCTTCTTCCCCAGACCCATTTCCTTTCTTGAAGAGTTCATTGAAGAACTTACTTCGAACAGCTAAAATGCATCTATGGACACCAACTGATACACCTTCAACAACTACATCTGCATCACTAAAAGGGGGGGAATTGTCAGAAACCAGCTGCTCTAAGCTTGAGCTAAGCTTGGTCAAGCTTATAACTTCGAGGTTGGAGGTGGCACCAGCTTCAGGAAGGGAAACTGAGGGGATATTGTGACTGATTGAGCCATTTGAGGGATGATATGATGAACTGAAGCTCAATGAAGATGATGGCTCAGACAGATTAGCCATTAAAATCTTAATCTAAGAACCAAAAACAAAAATTACAACTTTATTACAGAATCACATGACTGAAAGCAAATAAAAGAAAAACAACTTGCTTGAATTTCCAGGACCTCTTGATTATCATAACAAGGAAGAAAAAAACAAGGGTTTTAGAAAAGACCAAGAATCAGATCCTTAAAAAAGGAAAATCCCAATGAATATAAATGTGATTTACTTTATAAAATGTAATAAAAATGGGAACTTGGCAGAGATCAAAGAGAGAATTTGATGCGAAGAGGAAATGGTTAGTGAAGAGCCGAAGACTTGGGGAAGGAGAGAAGAAAGTCAATAGAGGGATAATACTAATAATAAATAATATTAATAAATTTAAGAATTAAAAAAATTCTTAATTTTCGATTTCTTTTTTCTAAAAAAGAAAAAGAAATTCCATATTTCGATTTCGAAAGGGCGATGAAGTGGTTTGGATGACTTCGAAGATGACGTGGTCAATTGGAGCTGGGTTCCACTGATGTCATGAATGACGTCATCCTTGTGAGGTGATTGGGGCTTATTGTCAATCATCAATAGTAATGGTTGGTTAAGAGTTTAATTAGGATAACCTACGTAATTAGCCACTCATTTATTTCTGCAGTTTTATTCTGGTCATTTAATTAATTATTTAAAATTATATTTAATGTTTTATTTTGATTTCTTTTATCACTCCTTGCTAAAAAAAAAAGGTAAACTCAGTATTTAGTAACTTAACTATTTGTATGATTCATTTTGGTTACTTAATTATTATTTTTAAAATTACACCTAACGTTACGTTTTAGTTTCATTTTGATCATTCGTTATTAAAAAATTAAGGGTGATGTTGACATATCACCTTAATATAATGTCACATTATCAATGATTTTTTTTAAATGTCACATAATATTATTAATTTTTTAACATCGGATTATCAAATTGAAGTTAAAACATAACATTAAATATAATTTTGAAAAAAATAATTTAGTAACCAAAATGAAACTGTATGAATAGTTTGATGACTAAATACGTAGTTTATAGTGA